ATAAGCAATAACAAAAGTTGTGAGACATCAGTTTTAAAATCTTTAGGTTTAATTTTATAATGTAAATAGTATTGACAAGATCTGCATCTAAAAAAGTTGTACTATATCCAAGTATTTTGCTTTAAGTAATTGACATTGTATAGTAATTAAAAGATTTCTATTTTTTGTATAAAATTTAATATTATTCAGTGCTTTCTCTTCTATTAATCTGAACTTAGCACTATATTTATATTTTTTAGAATAGAGTTTATAACTATAGATATTAAAACATGTTGTAACTGTAATGTAGTTAGATTTTTTAGAAAAACTTAGATTAATATACTATTCACATCCTTTACTTCTTAGATACAGTCAACCCCCTCTATAGTCACCCCTCTATAATCACATCATATAAAATACCCCTCCTTATCACATTCAGTACTCAAAAACAAATTACTATTAAATATATAAAAACCTACCTCTATATAATCACAACCTCTTTATAAGCATATTTTTTTAAAAAGTTCTTAAGTAAACAAAACATGTGATTATAGAGAGGGTTGACTGTATATATTTTTTGTCAAACTTATATCTAAAAGATTGATGTTTAATAACATTATCATCATGTTGTTCAACACTTTTCTTAATAACAGCAAACCTATTATATTGGCTATAAGCTTTAAAAAAATTAATGTCATCCTATAAACCAAATATATAACCAACTTTTAATAAAAAAAATTATACTACATCTTGCCTAAAATGTTATTGAAGTTTGAAACATTAAACTATATTTAAAACAAACAATGACTTTCATTTTATAATATTATTAATATCTATATTCTTAACCTCCTTAGTATTTGCATTGTCACAAGAAGGACTAGCTTTATCATAAATTATACTTTCACAAAAGAAACTAGCTTCATCATAAACCACATTTTTATAAAGAGCATTAGCTTTAAGGTCAATAGTATATAAAGTATTGGTTTAAATATTAACTAAGCTAGAAGTAGTTTTAGTATTTGCTGCTTAATTAGTCAAAACCATATAGAAGGTACTTATATTGTTATTAAATGTATAGGAAATACTAGTTTCAGTATTAGCCATTTGATCAGGCACAACTATATAAAAAATACTAGCTTCAGCATTAACAGTATATAAAGTACTAGCTTCAGTGTTAATTGTATAAAAGGTACTAGCTTTAGTATTAGCTACTTGATCAGCTATCTTGAAGATTATTTTTATCTATTCAATTGTAAAGTTATTAGTTTATAAATGTATAATAGTATACTTTATAGTAAAAATGATTAAAGGATATTGTCATATCACAAAAACAGTTAGATTCTAAAAAATATATAATATAGAAAAATAATGCAGGATAAGTTAGATTAGAAATTATTTGAGCTAAAAATTGTGTTAGTCACAAAATTAATATATATAGATCATATATGTATATATAATTTGCAGATTATTATTAAATCTGTAACAAATAATTTATATAATAAGATATAACACTAACATTTATTCTTATAAAATTATAAGAATTTAACTAATTTGACACCTAGTGTTTTTAATACGGGTTTGTGTAATATATAAATTAAATTAAGTTTATCAAAATAAACAAATAAATAAAATATAATTTAGCTAAAATTAGAGTTAGTATTTGGAAACTAATATTGGGACAGGTTATAGTTTATACTAAAATTTTGTAAAGAATTTTTTTTTAAAGCCTCAAGAATAATTTCATATACAAAATTTTGAAATATCATTGATTTTTTTTTGCTTTGTTTTTGTTACACAAAAAAATGATCTACAATATGCTTTTAATCGAATATTTTGATTGGCTTTTTTATTTATTTTTATACAACCAAGTGTCAATACATCTAGTATTTAAATAGAAATTATTAAATTATAATACAGTCACACTTCGATATAGTCACCCATTTGGGATACAAAAATTAGGTGACTATAACAGGGGTGACTATAAATAATAAATTTTATATAGTCACTTTAATAATAAAAACCAAATAATGTAACTATGTTATGACTAAAATTGAAATCTAACTAAAGTTGGAACTTCAGTTGAATGAAGTTGCACCTGACTAAAATTAGCCTTTGAAATTAGATCATCCTGCATGCATTAGTTAGCTGTTTTAGCAGACAGTTCTTAGAAACAGATTAAATTAAGAAAACTAAGAAAACATATGCTGTTGTAAGTCCGAAGTAAATTAAATTGGTCACATATGCGAACAGACAGACAAAATTCTGCTTAGACCTCTAGTATATGCAGATCATCTTAAATTGTCTAATCATTTATATGATTGGTCATATGGGTGAATAGATAAACAAAATTCTGCTTAGGTCTCTAGTATATGCAGATCATCAACCAATTACAATTAAGTCATGTGCTGGACAGATAGACATTTTTTAAGTTTTACTTGTATATGTAAGTCCTCGCTATGTTTTGGACAATCACGTGAATTACTAGTTAGAAACCACTTCCCTAATATTGGCACCAAAAAGTTACTATTACGTGATTTTTGATAAAATTCTTTAAAGCTTATTTAGGTTTGGGTTAGAGTTTTTGTTAAGGTTTGAATTTAAAGGTTTTAATAGCAAAATTGGTTAAAAAAAACCTTTTGTTAATGCATGAAAGGTGGTTTCCTATGCAAAATCTTGAGTTATAGGCGATTTTTGACAAAATGAACATTTGTTTTGTTTTGTTTTAAAAATTTCTGATTTGTAACATTACACCTGATCTTGAAATCTGATTTGTTTAAAATCACGTGATAGTAACTTTTGGTGGCAATACTGGTGTAGTTGTTAGGGACAGTTAGAGACAGTTAAAGTTTAAACTGTCCTTACTGTTCATAAGAACTATCTGTAGATCCTGCGCTGTTTTAGGGGGTTGTCTAAAGCCATATATCCACATGATTGTTTTGTGTAAATCAACCAACTGGAATTGCGAAATTTTGTTAATCAGCTCGAAGAAGTCAAAAAATAAAAAAAACACAAAAAGATGAAAAACGACAGTTTTAACCTATCTTGGAGCACTAATTAAAAATGTCAAGAAGAAAATTTTATCTACATTTCTCTTTTTATATCAACACCAAACTAATTCTAATTCTAACCTTAATTTTAATTAAAACAATTAAAACATTAAAATCATGTAGGTATATGGCTTTAGCCATCTCCCTGTTTTAAGCAAATGCCAACTTCAGTTAACTGAAGTTTCAACTTTAGTTGAATCCCAACTTCAGTCACAACACCAAAGAAAAACCAGATTCTGTTCATATAAAATTTATATGATCAAAATCCGGATTTTACTTTCATGTTGACATAAGTTAACATAATCTGTAAGTGTAAGTTGTAATGATTATTTATTAATTGGCACCAATTTACTTATAATCTATTTATTTCTATGTTTCTGTAATGAAATTATAGTACTTTTTTTACTTGGGTGTTAGTATTAGGCTATGCAAAGATAGTTTGTCATTTTGCATTCGAAATTTTGGTCAGGCAGATAAAATTTTTTTTTTGATTAAACTAATATACTGAATTTTCATAAAGTCAAAGTCTTTTAATTTCTAAGGTTTTCTTGAAAGGACATTTTACTTGTTCAGGTACTATAGCCATGATTTCAAGTTCTTTAATTAATTTTGAATCAGTTTAATTATAAGGTATTATAAAATTATTTTGAGTTTAAGCCTATTAGTAACTAATCAAGTGCAAGAGCGACTTGCAACTATAATAGATATGACTAATCCGTAATTCATTTTAAATTCTGAAAATTAGTGTGTATTAGTGAATAGACTTGCAAAATCTGTATTTCTTCCTGAAATAATATATTTTAATTTATCAAAATAGGAATATTAGATAAAATGATGTATCTTTATATCAGAGATTGTTTTCAATATGAAACTAGGAAAGACATTATTAAATAGACCAGGTTTACATATTTATCATAGAAATTGCATATAACTTTAAAAAATTATTTGTACATAGTGTATATGCTAAAATTGAAAACCTTTAAGTTTAATGCTAACCCGAAACTACTGATTAAAAGAGATATTATATAGCCTATTATTGATCAAACAATCTACATTATTAGAGTGGTTTAACTGATAATATTCAAAAAAAGGTCCAGAAATAATTTTCACACTATATATTCTCTGTGAATGATCATTCACTGTTTAATAATGTTTCGATAATCTTGCTATTTAATAGCATTCATTTAAATTGAAGAATAATTTTATATATTCTTAAATACAAAAAAATTTGTTTTCATCATTCACTAGTATTGTACACTTAGATAATTAAGCACCACATTGATTGATTTGATTAATAAAAAAGTAATCAGTTAAAGGGTAAAATAATCGGTTAGATGCAAATTCTTACCTTTAGTCTAGTGGTCAAGTTGGGTCTTTATCATTTTTCCGACAACACTTTCTCAACAAACAAAATCTAGACAAAAATTGACCAAAACTAACACTAATCCTAACCTAATGCAGACTAACTTGTCGGGTCCAATAATACTCATATACTGTATATTATTTTGTGACTTTATCAAGGTAAATTTAATACACCTTTATTACTTTGGGTTTAAAAAAAAATATGATAGTGACTATAAAGTGATTGTGACTATATAGAGAGTAAACAAATATAAATTTATATATATAGTTGGTAAATAAAATCATGTGATTATATCGAGTTGGTGACTATATCGAGAGTGACTATATCGAGGTGCGACTATATATGTTTTTTTTTAAAAGTTCGCGAGTAGTAAAATTTTTATCCGGGATTAGCCGGTACTCTATCCGGGGTAGGATCGACAATTTTTCCGGGGTATCTCAACTGTTATACGAAGAGCACAATTTACGTCACTGGTGATGATCTGCCAAAATCAGCCAATCATAATAAAACCCACTATGCTGCCAAAATTAAAAATTCGCTTGCATTCTTTAACGCGGGCCAGTCGATTAGAAATTGGTATTTCTATTTGTCTTCCTGTATCAATCACAGCAATGACCAGCAACGATGTACGAGACATTCTTGAGCTTCACTCAAAACCTTCAAGCTCAACGGACAGTCTTGTACCGAGTAAAAAAGCAAACAAGTCTGAAAAAGAAAAGAAGCCTGGTTGGTATTCTATTATTGATCAAGTTTAGTTTGACATCGAGGTTTAGCTATCGTATTTGAAAGTGTGCTGTGTCGAATTAGTGCGCATTCTTTTGAATTTAAACTTAAGCCTCAGAATATTATTGATTTATACTGCAATTCGTCATTTTACTCAACTAACTTGATCCTTCCTAAATAATCCTAGTTATACTATTATGCATACATTTTTTATAATTTTTTTTTTTTTCTTCAATAGAGGGAATACCTCGAGAATTATTTCAGTTAATAGGTGGTCCACCTCCAATAGCTTTTGTAAAGCCAGCTTTTAAGGCAAAACCAAATTTGCGTAAAAAGGCTGTTCATTGGTAATTGAAAATTTCATATTAAACTATAAAATTATAATAACAATCGATAAGATTTTAATTGAGGAGATTTAGATATAGAATCCATTTCGAAATTACCGTTCATTAATAATTGTAACATACTTGATAAAGGGAATGGCAAAGTTTTAATAATCAAGGACGAGGACAAGATGATCAATTGACATTACAACACTGGGTCAAATGTACACCTACTTCTGAATCTGAAGATTCTGGTAAAGTCACCTTTATTAACAATGTTTAATTTCAATTATCTTTAATATTTATTATCATTATTATTATTATTATTTTTTTTGTTTTAGGATATTGGTTTGCCGAGTATAACAAAAAAATTGATATCTTGAAATACGATGATGATGAATATGAAAAATATTTAACAGGTATTAGTTAAAGTTATTTCACTTATAGTTTATTTCAAACAACATTATATAATACCTAATGGTATTTTCAGATAAAGATTGGACCAAGGAGGAGACAGATTACTTATTTAGCCTGTGTGACAAATACGACCTTCGCTTCATAGTCATTCATGATCGGTACGAATATAAGGAACGATCTATGGAAGTGAGTGGGTGATTGATCGTCTTTTTTTATCATGATTTCATTAGAAATGATTATTTTATAAAAATATTATTTTTTTTGCTAGGATTTGAAAGACCGATATTATACAGTATGTAAAAAGCTTCTACAGGTGCGTCCACCTGAGGGTAGTGATAAAGGTGCATTGATTGCAATGAATACTTATGATAAAGGTATGGTGAATTCGCATATCTATTCGTAATATTATGTAATTACCGTTCCTAACTACGAATTAAATGGGAACTTTTCTGTAAACAGTCAAAGAGGAAAAAAGGAAAAAACATATGTGCGCATTGTACCTTCGGAGTCCTGAGGAAATTAAGGTCGGCATTCTATCAATCTTATACTGAAAAGAATATGCATTTATTAAAACTATCTTTCTTTTTTTTAATGCAGGAAGAAGAAGCTTTACTGGAAGAATATGAACGAATTGAACAGAATGAAAAGAAATTTGCCAGAGAACGTGAAAATCTATTGAAATTACTTAGCTTTCAAGAACTTGCTCAGGTGAATTCGCACGTATTCTCTTTGTAGTATTATATAAAACTAATGCATATAAATATTATTTAGCCTAAGCGAAAGAAATCACTTCTCAGTGGGCCAACAACTCCAACGATGGAAGTTGGGAGTTCAAACTTCCATACATCCGCCGAAATACCAAAAAAGAATCGTCGCACATCGGCTTCTTCTGTTGGTTCAGCTGTTATAGAAGGTAATAATAATAGATTATATTTCTTAGTCATTACCAGAGGTGTGGACATTTCTCAAATCAAGGGTAGCTGCCACTTTACATCCATATAAAATTTGTGTAGTTATCCCTGTTACAGTTATACTGTGTGTTATTCACGTTCTACGTCCGTACCTCTCATTACATTCTTTTTTATAACTTTCATATAATAACTTTTTTAATAAATAGCTGCACAATCTCCAGCAGAAGTTCATAATGCCCCAATAGCGGCCCGGAAGGAGAAGTTCCCACAGGGTGTAGTAGTAAGAAGTAGCAAGATCCCGTTGCCTAAACAAACAATGATAATTAAAGTACAAAAGACATTACAAGAATTTGGATTAGGTATTGATACGATAAATTATATATGTGGTACGTGAACAATGATTTCACGTTACGACATATATGGATATATGTGTATATATATTCGGTCGTTTATCTTTTATAGAATTTAGTGCAATCATTGTCTCTAATTCTTCTCTCATAAAACGAAGTTTATTTCTATATAATTAAAATAACATTATTTGAATGTATTAATAGGGCCGCGACCATCAATTCCCACTGAAACAGTATGTGCACGGTGGGTTGATTTACAAAAAGCTATACAAACACTATTGGATGTTAAGAAAGCAGTTGAAAAGGCTGATCACGAATTGAAAGCCAAAAAAGCATTACTTCAAAAGATAAAGCAAAATGGGTTGGGAAATGCATCCAAGTCAACAAATGTTGGTGACGCTGGAGGAAAACAATCAGATGTTACAACTAGTGTTACCGATGGTGGCGGCGGTGACGAGAGTAGTGTTGTCCCGGTAATTTTTCTTTTTTTAAATAAAGCTGTAAAATTACTGGTTTAATTTTAGATACTGATTATTAATATGTTCTATTCCAGACTAAGAGGGAACGGATAACTTTAACTACTACACCACGAGATACTAAGCGTGCTAGGAAATAGAGTTAGAACCGGGTTACCCGTGTCAAAACGGTTCAACCGGTCAAAAATTTACAACTCGGGTCAAAACGTTTGAATATTTAGCCTCTAAAAATCTACTATTACACAGAAACACAAAATTTAAAACATCATTGTATTGTGAATAAACACCCTTTTTTTTTTTATTTAAATGTTCAATCCCGCTAATTTTCAAACTTTTTGGAGGCTCCTATACGGACTATATATTGTGAAAATTTTGTTAAACATTTTCCTTTGTATAAACCTTCTTCATGATTTTCTTTGCTCGGCTGTAATACACTGTTCGACGGAATTGGTAGACTTTCTCGACAACCATCCCCGACTGCCCATCTCCCCGACTGCCCACTTCCCCGAAACTATTTCCTCGACAGCCCATTACCAAATTGCAGATCACTCTCGTGAACCTCCGGTCTTATCCAATCAAAATCGCGAATTTCGATTATCAAATTTTAAATAAATTAAAAAATAATTATGTAATATATATTTAAGAAAATAATTATGTAATATTTATTAGGATAATTATGTATGTATTTTAAATAAATTTACAATGTAAGAAAAAAATTTTTTTTGTTTTCTAATTGATTCTTTACAGTAGTAATATCTATGTTACTTTTATATTAAGTTATTGTCTTTTGCCTTTTTATTATTCTTATTATCAATTTCAATTTCAATACCTTCTTTAGTCAAATTTATTTTTAATGCCTTGATATTCTTTTTAATTTCTTCTTTAAGATAATCAAGACATATAGCATATTTAAACTGAATTTTTTGTAAACAAAAACTATAATAACCATGATTGTATACCAGAATTCTATTATCAGATAAATTAAATGTTGCAATATATATAGTTATATGGATTAGTAATATTAGATTTACTTGTGATAATGAAGCTTCATGGAAGATAATGATTCATTATTTAATAACTTAAAAAAACAAGCTTGTATGTGTTAATACTATCAGATAAACTTTAAATAACAAAAGAATACAAATTATATTTTTGATAAATTTTTATAAATATATCTAAAAGCAATATAGAACATTTTTTGAAAAGCATGTTCAATTGTTTTGATTAGAAAATTTTTTTGAAGATTTGTATTGATTGCTATTAGCAGAGATAATTGTTATTAATTTTTTTATATGATATATTGATTTTAGCTATATATCAATTTATAATATTAACAATATATATTAATTATACAGCAATTCTTTCTAATGATCCTCTAATCAATAACAACAAACTGAACTACAGTAAAATGTATAGATAAGCAACAAAGTAGATACTAAACATGGTTCTATAAGTAAGAGCAGCTTGTTGTCAATAAAGTTTAAGTGTTTAGGTGTGATATACCAAGAAGCAGATGTTAAAAGAATATATAGTTTTTCATGGTGTCAAGTTTTCTTTTTAGCAGACTTACTAAGATATTTAGCATCCAAATCAAAAAGTTTATTCTAAGAACAAGTTTGTAGAAGTAGCCAATGTGTATTTCTATGTTGGTGGAAATAGAGAAGTTAGACTATAC